ATTTTTAGATAGAATTAAGAAAACAAGTTTAGCAGGTAAAACTTGAGTCATCTGTTAGCAACTCAACTCAGAATGTTAAATTAGACAAATGTTTGGTCAGCTATCATGTCATAAATCTAGGTTTTCTTGACCAGGTAGCCATACATCAAAAATTACTGTAGTAAATCTAACTTGGAAGTGAAATCCTGCAGTTTGTAAACTGTAATTTCTAAATGGACTTTTCTGTATTGATAGAAAGCCATTTTTCTGAGCACAGGAACCTGAAATAAAAATGAAGGCCTATCGGTTGAACCTGAGAAGTCACAAGTGACACTGTGGGCTTCCCTGAATGTGTGGAATGCCATCAGCAGCTGTCCACACACTCTTAATGCCTGCTTGAGATGGCCATGATGCCCATTTCTGCACATGGTCTCCTTTTTCCTATACCATACTCTGTAGCCAGGTAGTAGTAGAACACCAGGGTCACAACAACCAGTGAGTGGTGGACCAAAGCCAATTTTACTCTAAAGATTCAGTTTTCATTTTTTCATCTACTCCATGTTTAAATGAGGACTCGTTTTCTCTCAGTGCTCCGCTTAGCTTAGGGATGACTTTGAACTGAGAATTTATGTAAAATGAGACACTGATGGTGACTTAACTGTCATCAGGGGAGCATGGTAAAGAATGTTTGTCAAGTCCTTCTATTCAGCAGTGACAGGAATGTGGGGAAATGATGTCTGGTAGTTTGTGCAGTTCTGCTGCTAGGAAATTTCCTGGAGAAGGGGCACAGTACACAGTACACACATCAGGAGGACTGATGGAGTTGGCCTTTCCCACAGGGAGCATTGTTGTGGAAGGCCACGAACTGCATGAAGAAGACATCCACCTTATGTACACCTTTGACCAGACCACAGGTGGGACCGCACAGTTTGAAGCACATTCGCATGCTCAGGTATTTATCTGTTCTGTAGAAGTTTCTTGCAGAGAGATGGGAACAGAAAGTATTTTACCTGTGCTTTTCTAAAGTATACTGACGGCTTGTCCCAAGGTAAAATAAATCAGTTCCTCATTTTAGATTGGCTTTATTAAACTTCTCAATGACAGACCCTAACATATGTGGGGGTTTTTAACTAACATTTAAATGAGCATTTTGTGATTTTTTTTTTTTTT